ATGCTTGCAATCGACTACAGCGGACACCTGTTTCTGGGGATCGATTGCTGCTTTTAATTGTAACGCTGAACCGTCGTCGGATTCACTAATCTTTCTCTGTCGCAATGGATAGCCTTCTCGAAAATATCAAACATCGTTCGGTCAATCTTATTTAACCGTTTGAATGGCAAGCGGCGTGGTCGCGCTTCTCCATTGCAGTGTCCAAAAGTGCCAGCCTCCGTAGAATTGAGTTAAGTTTATTTATTTGTTTCCTGCTAATTATTTATTGAGTTGATGCAAACGTTTGAACTTTTTTGTATGTGGTTAATAAAAGAAATGTTTTTCTTCGAAACAAATAACATCTGTTTTCAAACTACTCTAATGCGTATAAAAGACACTTCTTTCTTCGTTTTGATTAATTTTGGATTAGTCACCAGACAGTTGAGTTACTAAACTAAATCTAAAAGCCAAAAACATTAACATTTTTGCATCAATTCAATATTTTTATTTTTGTTATTATCTGCTTGGAAATGGAAGAATGGAACGATCGTACTATTAAGAATTTTTTTATGGAAAAACAGAAAAACGTAATTCAGTTTCTAAACTGAAACGAAAGGAGCGCGGTTGCTTAGTACTTTTTGACGGGGTTATGGCATTCAAATGGTAAAGTCACATTGGTCACGTTGACCATCAGTTCAGCACTGATTAAATTGCTCATACAATCAAAGCAATTTCCTCAACTCTTTGTCCTCTGATTTATTTCTCAACTATGGTCGATAGAAGTACTTTATCTCAACCCCGTCATACCTGATTCTCGTACAAAATTATGTGCACTTACCTAACAGCAGAAGAATGCTATTCAATACACCACCAGTAACAACGTATACTGTGAATAAAAAATGGTAGTATGCTACTTGTCTGATAGAAATAGGTTCAAATATAGGTTATATATACGGTTGTCTGTCATAGTTTTAATATTTTATCAGATATTGAAAGTAGTAAAAACGTGGGAAATGTTAGGCATATTTTATGTCTATGTTTACTCCGAATGATTAAATTTGACTGAATTTGAATTCAGAACAATTTAGTAATATTTATGCTGTTTAAATTCTATTTAAAATCTTCACCACAAGACTAACACGTTATTATAAGGCAAAGGGATAAGGAAACAGACACTGAAAAGTCAAGATTTTTCACAAAGATTGCTCTCTCAACCTTCTTGCAGCACATAGATACAACAAACTTTGGTTAGTTTCATATGTTACCGAGAAAATTAATTTTTAAATCTATGTAAAACATTATGATACCTACATATGGATGACATGACGATCAACGTATTAATATATTTAGGTACATAACTACTTTCTGAGCACGTTAAATTTCAATTTAAAATATGTAAGCTTGCTTACCAAGCAAAATTTATTTGCATCCTTTATCTATTAACGAAACTCGTATACAGGGTGGTTTATAAGGTAATGAATATAATAATACTTTAAGAGATAAACCAACACATTAATATAAGTAAAAAGTATTATATGAACATAGTACAGTGAGTAACATGTCAATATAACAAAAATGTAATTTTGCATAAACAGGAACAAAATTCTCACAAGCCTGATGATTTAGATTGTCTTAAAAGTATCATAAAACGCAACGGAAACACAACCAAATGTTAGTTATTAATACATTAATTGTATTTTCAGTATAACTGGTATAGATACAAATACTATTGAGAGACCAATTTTTACGTTGCATTACATTTTTGTTATATTGACATGTTCTTTTGCAATAAAGTTTATATAAGTTTGAAAGAATGAAAGAAGGAAATACATTCCAAACAAGAAAATATATATATATTTCTTAAAGTGTTGATAGGTAGGTTTAGATTAGTATTTATTTAATATTATAACACATTATTAATATTTTATTATTATTACTATCACTATTATTATTATTATTATTAATGTTTTATTTCTTAAAAACAAAAGTAGTCTGTAAAATACGTAAGTAACAATTTCATTTGCGAACTTCCACGGACCATTTCGCAGCTCAACGTGTTAACACTTTAAAATTCATCATTTTACGGAAAATATTAAGTAAATGAATACAATTAAACACTTGTATCTTAATACAAGCTTTCATATGGTATAAAAAAATATGTAGCATTCAATACAAAAAATCAAGGACCATTCTTGTTTCTTGAAAAATATAGCAAATATAAAAAATTGATAAACATTATTATGTTGACCATAAGAAACTACAATTTTCTTCTTCTTCTTTTTTTTTCTTATATGTACCATTTTCAATAAAAACGATGGTTAGTAATAGCATGGATACCCTGCATATCGATTCATGCACACTTTTCTAAGAATATTAAGGAATTTCAAAATATTTTATACTTTTGCTTGTCCATCGATAAGCTGAATCAGGAGAAATGTAGAATAATCCCTACCCACCCACTAAGGGCGGTGACGGCCAGAACAGACGGCCAGGAGCTAACGAACAGCACGGCTTAACGATTACGTTCAGCTTTACGAGAGTTTTACGACGCTTCCCACACCGTGGATCGATAAATCACTGTCGGTTGGCAAATAATTTTGAACGCCTCTATCCTCGGGTCTCTCTTCATCCCTCCTTCGACACTCATCAATGTGGAAATGTTTTAGCGGAGCAATGCTTTGAGGGACAATGGACAGGAGTATCCCGAACCTTTTTATAGGTGCTTTTAGGGTCAGCTTCGGTCTTGCTGTCGAACGATTGGGTATATGCGCGACAAAAATGATTGTCGAGGGTTGGTAAAACGGATTTAGCAAACCTATCGATGCTACTTAATGACCGGAATGAGGGCACCCTTCCAAGATGTTCCTCATAGGAATGGTTCGGAGACGTTTTAACTTTTTAATCCCTTGTTTTATAACATCGTGTGAGAATCGTGGTGAAGATTTTAAACAAAATTTAAAAAGTGTAAATGTTACTCAATTCATTTGAATTCAAATTTAACGCTATTTCTCTGTTATTAATAATTATATTTTAGAGCAAACGTAGTCATAGAATATGCGTAGAATTTTTCTCTTTTTCCAATAAATTATTAATGGTAAAGTAGTCGTACTGGCCACAGTTAAGAAAGAAATCATAGCGCAAGGGGTTCACTGGGGAATTAATTAATGGAGAATTTAAAAATGTCTCTTTTCTTATGGGTATTTTTCTTCAGGCACTGACGGAATTGGGTACCCATGATAAAAAGTACAATGGTGTAAATGACCTTGCATATATATCAATCATTAACACTTCACCAGCAATGTGGACCATTAAAGGACTGTCGTAAATCTCATTTATTCATGACTTCACCGATATTTTCAATTTTCATTGCAACACGATATGAAAATTTGGTTAAAATTTTGTTTGTATATTAACCCTTTGCACTCGAAGCTTTTTCGCCTGACATTACCAGCAACTCGAAATAATTTTAATAGAAAAGCATATTAATATATAAATAAACGATATGCGCACGAAAAGAAAAGTCATAGATGCATTTTACTGTTTTTTATCGATTATAGATATAAATATTACAACATATCTAATGACCAAATATTATAGTTCGTAATGACAAATTTTAAATGGCTCCGCTCCGGAGCCCTCAAGTGTAAAAGGTTAAATTAGCGACTATAAACAATAAGTATCTTAACATTTTTTCAGATTTTCACAACATTCACAACAATGAAAAATCAAGACTGATCATAAATGGTTTATATTGCTGACCGCGTTGGTGCAAAACTATATAAAACTCGGCGGAGGGTTAAAATTGCGCGACGTGCACATGTCATGCCATTATAATTTTAATATAAATATCACAGGATTTTATGTCATGCCCAGTTAAAAATTTAATGATAATTAGTCTGTGAATCTTTACACAAATTCAAAGTTTTGAAGAACATAACGAAAGAAAGGGTATTGCGATAAAAAATATTATAAAAGGTATTATATGTACTTCGAGTATTTTATATATTTTCTCGTACTACTTGGGTGTGAGTTTGCAATTTGAAATTTATCGTAAATACATACAAATTCGCAGTTTAATGATGACGATAGTAATGAATTTTTACAATAAGATTTATTAACAATTCTGATATGTTCTACATACAAATATTTTTTGGATGTTTTATTCTGTATGATATGAAGGATTATATTTTATACTTACTTTGGTTGTTGTTTTAGTTTCTTTAAATTTTACATTTGGCAGTAATTTAAAATTACTCCGTATATAATATTATGTAAATGTAGTAGGGAATATGATCTGAGGAATTTGATATTTGAGTGACCACTTTTTTCATTTTGTCTTAATTATTCGATTATTATTTGTACTACTGCACACTTAAGAAATATACTTATTGTTCATACATATTTTGTTACCAAATTAATGATTTTTATTTTATTTTACATTTGAATACATGACATTTTGAATAATTGTATACATTTTTAATGTTAATTATTCAGATAAAATCGAGACCACTCATCTTATTTTGATATAAGATAAAAATACATATTCTAAATTATTTTGATACTATACATAA